TGCATTGGACTGCAGGTACGTATCCGTACACGGCCGCCCAATAGTTGTGTTGGTTAACCTCCATCCAGATCCTGCTGAATCCTGCTGAAGCAATAGAGTCCAACCTGGCGGGCATCGTGCATGTTATCTCCCGGATGGACTGGTATTGCGCCTTGACCGAACATATCCTAAGCCAGAACAACATTGTAGTAGGGAAGGAGAGTTTCAAGTCTGTCCAGCTTCAGTTGGAAAACAGGATCGTTGAGCTCTACAAGGCTCTCCTTCTGTATCAGATGAAGAGCGTTTGCTCTTTCTACCGGCATAAAACCTGGATCGTTCTCCGTGGCCTTGCGAAGGTCGACGACTGGGATGCCTATCTGAAGAGTGTCACAGATACCGAGGCAACTCTTCAGACTGATCTGAATCAGTTTAACAGTCAGCATACCAAGAGCCTCCTAGGGAAGCTTGTCGAGAAAGCGGAAGAAAGGAAAGCGCTACTTGGAGATATTCATCAAGCTCTTCAAAGCAGCATCGCTGTGCAAGAGAAGACCCACAAAGCTGTCCAGGATGGCAACACTCTGCGCAAGGAGATTCACCGAGATGAGAAGGATACGCAATGCCTCCAAGACCTCCGCCTAACCGACCCGCGCGACGACAAGAAGCGCATCCAAAACACGAAAGGTGGCCTGTTACGAGACGCGTATCACTGGATCCTTGACAACTCTGAATTCCAACAATGGCGCAATAGCCTGGACAGCAACCTGCTCTGGATCAAGGGCGATCCCGGCAAGGGCAAGACAATGTTACTCTGCGGTATTATCGATGAGCTGCAGAAATCGACTTCGGGAACAGGCCCTCTATCATTCTTTTTCTGCCAGGCCACCAACGAGCAGATCAGCAATGCCCCCGCCATCCTACGCGGCCTCATCTACATGCTCCTCGACCAGCAGCCATCACTTATCCCTCATGTACGGAAAAAGTACAAGCATGCAGGAAAAGCCCTCTTCGAAGATGCGAATCGATGGGTTGCTTTATCCGAGATCTTCAAAAACATTCTGCAAGACCCAAGCCTGGAGGGCGCCTACCTGGTCATCGATGCGCTCGACGAATGCATAAGCGGCCGGCGAGAACTTCTCGAATTTATCGTCGAGATGACATCTACGGTTCCTCACGTCAAGTGGATCGTCTCCAGTCGCAACTGGCCAGATAT